GGTCCATTGGAGTGTGACTGTTGCCTGGGAGTACAGCTGTCAACACAGCAAGAGTTTCTGAATAGGATGAGGTAAACAGCCATTCTCTACACTCAGAGGGATGGCATAAGGCACAAGTGACTTCGTGTTCCTGATTTTTAAAGTGAGGACTGTGGCATGCTTTATACAGATGTCTTTTTACACTGTTGATAAGTGGCATCTTTGACAGAACAACCTGTACAGATAACGTTGTACAGCATACATGCTTAGGGGAAGCACATTTTTTTCATGGAAAATGCTTAAACTACCCCGACATCTGTTGGAAAAGTAATATAGCAAAACAAAAAATGTCTAACAAGTCCTCTGACTGTATTGGAGACCATGTTTTGTTTCAGACAGTGAAAGAAGGAAGTAGAGAGCAATCATTTTAGATTGATTCAGAATAACAGGGAAGAATAGGTAAAGGAATTTGGGTGAAATGATAGATTTCATGATTCTAAGGAAAGGAAGGAGTGAAAACAGCAGAATGAGGACAACAGACATCAAACTACGAGAACTGGTAGATAATATCCCATTGGAACAAAATGAAAGGGAAAAGGAAGTTCCATAGAGATGGCAGTTTCAGTTTCTCAGAGAGACAATATTAAATGCAGCGAACTGTCATGCTTTGCTCTGCACTGGTGAGACCTCAGCTGGAGGACTGTGGTTTAGTTGTGGTCAGTACAATCTAAGAAAGTCATTGACAAATTGGAAAGAGTCCAGAGGAAATTGACAAAAATAATCAAAAAATTAGAAAACCTGATCTGTAAGGAAAAGCTAAAAAAAAACTGAGCATATTTAGACTTCAGAAAATAAGACTGAGGGAGGACTTGATAACAGTCTTCAAATATGTTATAAAGAGGAGAGTGATCAATTTCTCTCCATGTCCACTGAATGCAAGAAAAGAAGTAATGGGCTTAATCTGCAGCAAGGAAGATTTAGGTTAGGATATTCAGAAACCTTTCTAACTATAAGAATAATAATGCTCTGACATAGGCTTCCCAGGCAGGAGGCAGAATCCCAGCCACTGGAGGTTTTAAGTACAGGTTAGAGAAACACTTGTCAGGGATGGTCTAGGTCAGGGGTCAGCAATCTTTCAGAAGTGGAATGCCAAGATTTAACTTATTCACATCTATTTATGGGTCAGCGTGCCAGTGATACTTTTTAAAGTCAATAATAGTCCTACTTACAGCAGCTTCATATATAAATAAATTAAGATGCAGATCATACTGTTTAGTGTGATCCTTGACCTTGCTTTGCCTTGCTGAGTTCTCTGATCTTGGGCTCACCTAGCGGGGTAGTGTAGACATACCCATAGTGTTTTTGAAACATTTAGAAAACATTGTGCATCTCAGCATAGAATTATAGAAATGAGGGGCTGATAGGGACCTCAAAAAATCATTTAGTCTAGCTCTGAGGCAGAACTAAATATACCTAGACCAAGGGTTAGCAACCTATGGCATAATTTTCATTGGCACGCAAGGCAGGAGCTCAAAAAATTGAAGCCTGCTGTGGCTTCAACTGCCCCCAGATTCAACATGCCACAGGAGCAACCTGCCCGCCTGTCACAATGCGGTTTCAGCCCCAGTGGCAGCTGGCCCCCAATGTGGCACTGGCTGTCAGAGTCAGCCGACCAGCAATCCCTGGCCCATCCCCGGCCATGGCTTCAACACCCCACGGCAGCCACCCACCTGGCAAATTGAAGCCTGCTGTGGCTTCAACTGCCCCCAGATTCAACATGCCACAGGAGCAACCTGCCCGCCTGTCACAATGCGGTTTCAGCCCCAGTGGCAGCTGGCCCCCAATGTGGCACTGGCTGTCAGAGTCAGCCGACCAGCAATCCCTGGCCCATCCCCGGCCATGGCTTCAACACCCCACGGCAGCCACCCACCTGGC